ATTTGTCCTCTATCACACAGCTACCAAGTGGAGGTTCCAAGAATTTGTCCAACTTAATCTAACTTCAGATACGAGGAACTAACCCCCACAAAAACAGCCAGGATTTCAGCCAGATTTCCTTTCAACAAATCTACATATTCCTCTCCACAAATAGTAGCGTTGCAACAGGGTACTATCTTCAACTTATCTTCTCACTCATTATTCAGTCTACCCCATGGACTATTTCTGGAAGTTAGTACTGAAAATGATTCTGGGTACTCCCATGTCCCATCAGACACTTTCTCACAATTCTTCTAGAAGCTCCCCTTTCTTCATCCCTTTGTTCTTCTACTAAATGAGATCAATCAAGGAAAAGCAAAACCAAAAAGGTACATAATTAAATTTATTCTATGTAAATGTAGTTGGAAGGAGAAATATCAAAATGTCCAAATTTGGGAAATGCGTCATGACTATTTAGTAACAAAGTTGTATGAAACATAATCAGTTATATGAAAAAGCCCTAAGATTCACATAATAATGGATAAAAAAAGACAGCAGATAAAGGTACCCTAAATGTTAAATAATACAACTTTGATTTACCAAATGCATTAGAATGCATATATATTCAATGCTGCTCTTCAAAACAGTTAACATGGAAATATATCTGAGAGGACTTTTCCAATACTGTAAACACATTTGAAATTCCACCTTTAGGATTTTAACCAGAGCTAGTTTGAAAGATCTATGAGCTATCACTGAGATCACATGAAAATGATTGGCCTCTTTAAGAAGATACCCTCATTTTGGTCAAATGAATACCAAGACTATTTAGTTAATTCAGCAAATAAACTAAGTAGTTGACTCCAAATGATTCTGATACTCAATTCTACCTTCTTAATAAACCATGTTTATCATTATGATTATTAAACCTACATATTATGCTCCAAACCAGTTTCAAATAAAGCTGGAAAATTTTTATTATTGGATTTATCTTTGCCCATATTACTCTGAACAGATCAAGTAGAGATTTCCAAAAGCAGCTGGGAGTCCTTATTGTATTCCCATGTTAACTCTATTTTTAAGATATTTCCTTTATAATTTGAAGAAAACATATTCCTAACATGCAAACATGAATGTTAAAGATTCAAAACTCAACCAAAGTTTAAATATTTTGAAAACACTTCTTATCGGACAGCTTTCTTAACTCTCTATACTGTCAGTCTTTTCCTAGAAATTTATTCTAATTGCAATTCTGTAATTACATAATATTATTAGAAGGATGAATATTTAGCTGGTAAAAAGGTAAAAAAATAATTTAACTTTCAGTTAGAGATGATGGTTTCAATTTCTAATACCACACTGGGAATTGAAAAGCAAACCCATGAGATCCGAGCTTCAATGTAATATTTTGAGATGCATTTAAGATGTTGTGCTTGAAAAGAAAAGAGAATGAGTTGGTATGAAGTCAAATTGGCAGTCATTCAACAAGTATTTCTTGATTGCCTACTATGTTCTGGGAACTAGGGATAAAATTTACACACTAGGAGAAGAAGAAAGACAATGAACAAATGAAAAATGATAAGGTAATAAATTGTGCAGTGAAAAATATAACACTTGAAGGCACACTGGGTGGATATGAGGTTTCAATTTCCTTAAACAAAGAAGGTGATATTTAAATATGTACTTGAAGAAGATAAAGAAGTGAGCCGATGGAAACCTTTTAAACAGACATGATTTGACTAAAATTTTATATTTAAATGCTATGTAATTTTCTATTGATTTTTGTGTGTCAAATAGACTTGAAAGGGGGCAAATGTGGAAGCAAAGAGATAAACTAGGAAATATTACAGTAAGGTATGTGAAAAATTAAAATAACTGACCAGAATGGTAGCATTGGAGGAGGTAAGAAGTATTCTAAATCTAAACACATTTTAAAGACAGAATCTGCTAACAGATTAGGAGCCTAGAAGATGTCAGGGGTAGCTAGGGGATTTAGTTTGAACACCTGAAGGATGGGCTTGTCACTACTGAGATAGTGAATGGCAGAATGGTTTCAGGGGAATATTTACAGTTCAGTTTCAGGTATATCAGGTTTGAGACACAGAAATTTGATGTCAAGTAGGCAACTGGATACATATTATTTGAATTCAGGACAGAGATCCTGGTTGAACACATATTTGAGAGTTACCAGGATATAGATCATAAGGGAAAATAAGCAATGAAAGGACCAAAAGACAAGTGAAAACAGGTTCTGGAAAACCAAGGGAAGAATAGGCTTGAAAGAAAAGAGTAGGATCAACTTTACCACATCCAGCTGTTAAGTAAGAGGAGGGCTGAACACTGGACTAAGTGACATTAGGTCACTGAAACCTTGACAAGAAGTGTAAAGGCACCCAGATGGGGTAGAAAAGCATAACTAGGGTACATGCAAGAGTGTGAGTGGAGAATGGAAATCAGAACTACAGATTAGTCTTCCTAGGAAGTTTTCAGCAAAAGGGAACAGAAAATAGGTTTTACCATTGGAGGGAAGAAAGATTTCAAAAGCTCTTGGGGGGTGGGTTGTTTTATAGAAGTAACAACATAATAGTATGCTCACGGGAAGAACTGGGTAGAGAGGGCTAAAGTAATTCAAGAACCGATGTGGGATCTGGTGATCAAGGAACAGAAAAAACAGATCCCTTATGATTGCTTCAGTTTTCTTCATTTTTTCAATGAAATTGGAAGCAAGGGCATGAGCTGAGAGTGAGAATGGCGGCCAATATGTTGGGAATTTGAGGACACAAAAGATATGAGCAGTCAATGAGGAGAGTGGGGAGTAAATGCACTATGATCTAACTGCTGAACAGCCGGAGGGATTACTTGTGGTTGCTGACCACGAATGTAAAATTATGGCAAAAACTCCTTTTCTCAAAATAGCTGCTGCTTATCCTCCTACACATTATCAATGACATTATTCTTTAGCTAGTGAACTGTAAAGATGGGAACATTACACCTAAATTTCTATGAAGACTTCCAGACAGAAGCTCTACTCAATGCTGTATGACAAATACCGTGGCAAAAATAAACTTATCCAAAGAAACTATTCAATGATGACCCATTTTTCCTTGTGAGCTTACTTCCTTTGTACCCACAATGCACCCTGATTATTACTCTACACATGCCACAAAGTATACATCGCCTCATCTCTCCACCTGCATTCACAGAGATGTCAAAAGCACAAATGGATTGTAGTTGAAGCATAAATGGAATGGTCATTCTGAGCTGGAACATTCCCCAGACAAGATTCTCATATTTTTCACGTTATTAAAATAAGAAATGTCTTTTTTTCTATCTGGAATGCTGATCTTGTATGACCCCCCCTTTCAGAGGTAGTCTAAACACTAACTAACTTCAAATTTACTACTAACAAAGTCCTGATAATTATTACAATCAAAATTAATCTTCTAATCATTCCCTCAAATTCTTAGATTTACACTTAAATTATATTTTATATTTGACTTTATGATATAAAAGAACGTTCCAATCTTCTTCATTCAATGACCATAAATCAAACTATTCAGAAAATGTTAATTTCTGTTGTTTAAAATTAGTCTTGTAGTAAAAGACAAATTTTTACTATTTCTGTACCCAGTTTTTACTCAATATAGTTTTTAAATTACTCTAAATTCGTTGTTTCAGAGTCCAAAACCCATGAGAATATATAAGAATCTACTTAAAATATCTTTTCAGTATCTTTTAGACTTCAGTGGAAGGAATCAAAAAAGGAAAGGAAGGAAAAGATAAGACAGGATAGGAGGGAAGGAGGAGAGAAAACAGAAGGAAGTTGATAGAAAAATTTTCCCCTAAATTCAAGAGAATAAGAGGAATGCAGCAAAAATAAAATAAAGATGCCTACATTTAAAGATGCCTAAAACTTAAAAAGGAACTAATACTGTACTAAAAGTGAGACCAACATTGTATACTGTGGACTGAGAGTATGCTCAAAATAAGAAAAAGCTAGACCAGCATACATATCACTCATCATTCTAACAGGGAATTGGTATTTGACACTAGAAAGCTGACTTCCTCAGGCTTCTGTTTATGTCCAGACTTATATTAGCATTACAAAAGTGAAAGAAGTCGCTTGGCTAACCATATGTTGCCACATCACCCCCATTATTCAGGCCAATGGTGTGGAACCAAACAAAAGAAGGTTGTCAACCTGAACAGAGGCTGTCCTTTCCGAGGCTTTAAAAATAATGCTACTGAGAACAGTAACATTTTTCAAAGACTTAATAAGCAATAACGCCAATAAGCACTTGTCAGGTAATCTTTCTTTTACTGCCTCACACCATCAGTCTGCATAAGGAGGGGGAAACAAATCCTCTTCCCCACAACCCCCCCTTGCCACAGGCAGCTAAACCTGGATGACACTTGCCTGTTTCCCACAGGGAGGAAGGTCCACCCACACAGGAGCAGCAGCAGGGGGCACAAGGGAAAGGAACGAACGGTGTGAAAGCGATGCAGAATCATGTATATAATCTTGAAATTTATGCTGTGTGGCAGCCTAGGGTCTCCTAGGAAAACAATTACTCTCATTTTTACCTCCCACTGCCACTCAGACCTTTCCTGGCTGGTGAATCAGTAGGAGGCAAAAATGCAAATGCCTATTTTTTTTTTCCTTTGAAAGTTAAGAGAGCTGCTCAAAACAGTGGATTTCAAAAATCACAATACAAACTAATTCTTAAGGCACTTCTTTTATTGTCTTTGGTAGAAGCAATAGTGTTTTTTGTGTGCCTGTAAGACTGGTTACTAACATATGTCCATATCTACTGGACTATAATAATCTTGATAGTTTATAACCATACACAAAATACAGTTGGTAGATTTTTTTTTAATCATCTTAAAATTGAAATATTGGTGTTACCCTAAGCTAAAGGGTCTCTCTTCTGGATCTAGATTAATATCTTTATGAAAAATTCTGTTACATAAAAGGCTAATTAAATGTGCATATGAAGGAGTCCCTGGTTGCTTTTAATTACCTGTCTCAGTGAGTGCCAGCTCCAAGTGAGAACTGCCTTTCCACAGAGCCCCAGGTAAGGCAGACACAGTCCAGTTTCAGAAGGACTCTCTCCAGTAGGAGAGAGAAAGGAGATGCCCATATAAAAGGACACAGAGGCATCAGAAATACCAGAAGACCTATAAAAAGAATATACCTTCAGGTTTCCAAGAAATATATCCAGGAAATCTAAAAAAGCTTCATGGAAAGGAGGGCATTTTAGATGGTCCTTGAAGGATCATCAAGATTTCAAAAATTGGAGAATAAGGAGGGTGTAAAATGAACAAAATCACAGAAAAGATCATCTATTCATGGGCAACATTTTCTGGACTACATGCTTTACAAATGCGGATTTTAGAGAAATCAAATGATGTGAAAGGTAGAGGGAAAAGTAGGGGCCCCCAAGAAAAATAAGTTTGAAAACCAGTACATCCCCCCTTGGAAATTCATGAGGAAAGGCTGTGAGGAAACACTACCAACAAAGGAACTTTTTTTGTTGTTGTTTTTAAAGATTTTATTTATTTATACAGAACTGGGGTACAGATGCGGAGGGAGAGAGGATTCACCAGAGACAGAGCAGGGAGCAGAGCAGGCAGATCGAGGAAGTACACTGCTGAGGGGAGCAGCGGGCAGGTCAGGAGAGGTCTGCCGCGCCATGTGGTCACCTCCCGGGCAGGCGGGAATCAAACGCATAAGGAAGTGGCTTAAGCTTCTTAGTGCTCTGCTTTAACCCGCTGCGCCACCAGGGAGGGCCCCAAAGGAACTTTTTAACCACCGTCTCCCAAACCTACTTGACAGAATCATTTCAAAGAACATTTACCAGCCCTCAAATGACTTCAAAGCTGCTATCTAAGCAGAGTTGAGGCAAAGCTAGCAGAGTAAACTGAAGACAAACTATAATGCCTCAAACACCAGACCAAGAAACGTAATATATATACACATTATATATAATATATAATATATATATTCATATATATAATATATATATTCATATATATAATTATAATATATATATATGAAAAACCAAAATGAGGTACTGACCTTATTTTGTTTCTTTTCTTTTAATGAAAATATTATTAACATAATATTATGTTAACTTAGGTAATTTGTATTATGACTTTGAAAAGCAGTTTTGAGTAGCTCTTACATGTCAAAGGGAAAAAATAAGCACCTGCAAATAATTAATATTATGTTGACACATTATAGTACATCATAAAAATTTGATATCTGTATAAACTACAAACTGATCACCACAATAAAGATGGTTAATATCCCCCACCATACACTGGCACAGAAAATTAGGAGGAAAGGGGTGTTTGCTATTTCAAACATCTCATTATATACTGAGCTTTACGGCAGCATCCATAATGAATGCAGGAGGCTAAACAATGAATTTCAAATAATGTGTGCACATTATTTACTAAGACATGCATTTTATGGAACAAACCTGTAAGCAACTACATAACCGGAGTAACATGCCCCAGTCACAGAGAGGGAGATAAAGGTAACAAGGGGAAGGCAGTTAGGATAACGGAGGATCAGCCGGCCAAGGCAAGGGAGGCAACAAACACAGACACTCCACACCCCTGCGGCCCTGTCTCAGTTTTTCTCCTGGCTCCCTAAGCCTAATATTAACCCTCAAAGACAGGTGTAAGGTAAAACTATACTTCTTGTTTCATATTTGCATATAAAAGCTAAGTATTATAAGCCACTATTTTAAAATATATAAACGATTGTGACAAAAACTCGAAAATTAGCAATTAGCAAGTTAGCTACCTTCACTCCTAAAGTATCTACAAGTATACTGCTTCCATCCCCTCATATGTAGTATAGCTATACTACATATGAGCTTATTTTAGAACAAATTACCTGTGGCTGGAACTGAGGAACAGGTGACCCTTGCATTCCTTGTGATTGTTCATCCATTGTCCAAAGCAACAGGAACTTTAAAAATCTGCAAAAGTGTGAAGACAAAATGTAAACAATGTTATCACAACCAATTCCTGTTGTTGATCATAGGCTTGATACGGATTTTAAAATAAGAGAAATTTATCTTACACTTCCAAAGTAGACATTAAGATATCCCACACTCCAATGCCTGCCATTTGCTATATCCAAGCTCTGTTGCACTAATACAAGTATGCAGTCTCAACTGTTTCCATTTTCAAGAGGAGCATTAAGTACTTCGAAAATCCCATTTCTCCAGATTGAATTTTATTTTCTCCATTTGCCTTACTGAACAAGGAGGCTTACCCTTCACCTTCCCCAGTGCCAATGGGGCAATTACCATGCCACTTCCTATAATCAAGCTCCTGTCTTACAACCCTAAAATGAACTTCTTCATATTCTCAAAGTGTTAATGCATTTGTTCTGAATGTCCAATGCTATATCACTTACTGTGACTTTTTGGGTTTACACTTAAAAAGGTCAGTCTTCACATGAAAGTTTTCACTTTTTAATGCATGCTTTCCTTATAATTATATAACATTCACTCACTAATTCAGTAAACATTAGATGAAGACCAATTATATGACAAGTACTACACAAGATTCAAGAATTGAACTAAAAATGACAAAAAAGCACTGCAGTTACTTCTGCTCTGATTCTAAGCAATGCCAAGTATTTCTAAGTTCTTTGTAAATGTAATTTATAACTAAAATCCTGTGGGATAAAAATGAGGGCTCATTTAAATGGTATTAACTAAATGGAAAAACTAAACACATCATTTCATGATACTCTTCAAAGCAATAATATATTCCAGGCATAAGCTGTTTGTAATGCAAATATTTCTATCCCATGATTTGTCTTTTCAAAATACCCCTAATGACATCTTTCAACTAACTAATAAACAGAAATTCTTACTTTTTTTTTTTTAAAGATTTATTTATTTATGCTTACAGAACTGAGGTACAAGCCAGAGGTACAGGGGCACTGAGAGGATTCACCAGAGACAGAGTGGGGAGCAGAATAGGCAGACTGACAAAGTACACTGCAAGGGGGAGCAGCAGGCGGGTCAGGAGAGGTCTGCCCTGCCATGTGGGTCAGCTTCCTGGCGGAGGATGGAACTCATGCTGCAGTGGCTTCGGAGAGCTTCATAATGCAGTGCTTTAACCTATTGCACCACCAGGGAGAGCACTGAAATTCTTACTTTTAATATGGTCTAACAAACAAGTCAATATTTTCCTTTATGATCACTGCCTGTGAATACTACTTAATATAAAAAAATTAAATAAAAATTGGCCCTCCCTGGTGGCGCAGCGGGTTAAAGCACAGCACTGAGAATCTAGGGCCGCTTCTGCATGAGTTCAATTCCCGCCTGCCCCGGAGGTGACCACATGGCGTGGCAGACCTCTCCTGACCCGCCCGCTGCTCCCCTCAGCAGTGTACTTCGTCGATCTGCCTGTTCTGCTCCCCACTCTGTCTCTGGTGGGGCCTTTCACCGCCCCTGGGCCTCTGGCCTGTACCCCAGTTCTGTATGCACAAATAAATAAATCTTTAAAAAAAAAATTAAATAAAATAAAAATTTCAAAGCACTTGAAAAGTGATTTCACCTAGCAATCTGCCCAAAAGGGAAATCATTTCTACAATATCCCAGACACAGGTCATAGAGATTCTGCTCTGAAAATAAACATCTCTATGAAATTCTTATATAACCCATAAGCTTAAAATATACAATGAATAAAATTCAGTAATAACTTCTATGCATATCTTACATAGGTTCATGTGTCATTGGAGTCTTAATGTTATTACAAAGTAAGAGTAATAACAATATATCAATGCTGATATATTTGTATATTGATTTAATGACATTTAATACTTTTTATGTTTTAAAAACCAAAGACATTTATATTTATCTCTTTGCACTAATCCCTTAAATAAAATGAAAACACTTTTTTTTTTAAAGATTTTATTTATTTATGCACACAGACTGGGGTACAGGCCAGAGGCTCAGGGGCGGTGAGAGGCTTCACCAGAGACAGAGTGGGGAGCAGAACAGGCAGATCGACGAAGTACACTGCTGAGGGGAGCAGCGGGTGGGTCAGGAGAGGTCTGCCACACCATGTGGTCACCTCCGGGGCAGGCGGGAATCGAACTCATGCAGAAGTGGCTTTAGATTCTCAGTGCAGTGCTTTAACCCACTGCGCCACCAGGAGGGTCCCTGAAAACACTTTTTAACATATGAAATGTCAATATGTATTCAGTCTTCTAGATATAAATTCTGTGTTGCAGTGATCTGTAGGGACCATCTGTGCTCAGATGGTCCCTACATCTCCTGTGCTCAGATCAACACTGGCACAAAATAAGTCTCTGTCATAAAAGCATCAAATAACTACTACTAAAGTTTATTTAACAAGTCTAAAGTGAATGATGAAAAAAATTATTATCAAATTCAAATTTAGCAGCCCACTCTTAGGAATCTACCCAAAGAATACAAAAATAGTAATTTGAAAGGGAACTTGCACTCCTACATTTATTGCAGCACTATTTACAATAGTCAAGATATGGAAACAACACAAATGTCCCAAAACAGATCAATGGATCAAAGAGCTGTGGCACATATACACAATGGAATACTATTAATAATTCTAACTATTACAAAAAATTATGTTTCCAAACCTATATTTTGATTCTATCATAGGAACTGGTTTTCTCTATAATTCTCAAAATCTTAAAATATTAAACTAGCTACATACCAACCTGAAGACAGAGTTCGGATAAAGTTTTAGAATTTTTTCTTATTTTTTTAATCTAACAAGTTGAAATACTAATCTAAACTTATTTGATAGCTCTGTAGTCTAAAAATAGTTTTTCTTCAAACATCAAGGATATTCATTAAATCTCCAGTGCCCTTCTAGTTATACATGACATTTTTAGTAATAAGCTAACCAAATCAACTATAGTTTATTAAATAATATTAAAGAACAGCAACTATATTAAAATAGTAACTCTAAACTCACCAAAACAAAGTTACTGACTTAACTACATGTATATGTGACAGCTGAAAAAATGAAAGGAACTATGGAAACTTTAGGGTGACTGATATTGGCAGAAGATAAACACTTACATTCAAAACTAAATATTTTTCTTGGCCCCAAAGTCACCATTCAACAGAAATATTCCTGACCTCACCCTCCTGCCTCTATTTAACTGACTGAGTCATCCAGGTTTTCCCACAATCAAGCCAGTGACTGTTGTATAACAACACAAAGAAAATTAAGTTGAAGTAATCAGCACCAATTGTTCATTTGTACTTCACTGTGTTATCATAGTGCCTAAGAGCTACTAATATAGCTATCAGATCTTTGAAGAGAATCAGGATGTTTTTAGAACATCAGGATCTCAACATTAATAGTTACAAACAGTAAACTAGCCAAACCCCAACCTTGGTTTCTAAAAGCCATTCTCCACTAAGCAATGTAAGACTTTTCTTAGAGAAATGCTTCCTTCCAGGGATGAGTCTGTAATAAGTACAAGCTGAGCATGTATGTCTTATGCGAGAAAATATGGAAGTGCTCAAAGAAGATCACAGACATGTCAAAAGAAACGTGAAACCCCTCTTAGTGGGGTGCTGCTGACTTCATATGGAGCAATTTGAAAGTAACATAACCCAATGAATAAATTAAGAATCCTTGAGTCCATAAACGTACAAATTAATAGTGAAAAGAGGTAAGCTATACCTTACAAGATGTAACCTAATAAAGAAAAAATAAATAGAATTGAAAGCCACCTTTTGCTAGTCTCCAGAGAAATCACTGATCATGCAAGAATCATCAACAAGTGTTAAAACTAGTAGAAAAAGTTATTTACATTGTCTTAAACTATCTCCCATTATTCATACACACACACCAAAAACAAATTGTAATTACAAAGGTAAAGAGTAATTTTATGTTAGGCAACTTAGCAGACATTACCTAAGCAAAGGATCAAAGTTCACCTCACCAGTAATGGAACATACAGACAGACATCACCAACTATGGTGCACTTAGAAGAAAGTATCACTTTGTAATACCATTTCAAAAATGCAAATCCTGAAGTTAAAATTCAGGAAATATCAGGTAAACCTAAATTAGAGACATCTATAAAATTTAAGTCCATACTCTTCAGAACTGTCAATATTTTAAAATAAACACAAATTAAAACCTCTAAGTTTTAGGAGTATGTCCTGAGAATTAAATATGTATATACTACATTAAGTCTGCCACAAATCCTTTTTTTATTTTATCACATAAATAATAAAATATAGTAAAATATTAACATTGGGGAATCTGAATGAAGATTACATGGAAATTCTTCATTCTAGTATTTTTTCTTTCTGTGAACCAAAACTACAGCAAAATTGAAAGTTTAAAAAATAAAGCTACACTATAAAAAAGAACAGCAAATTATACTACAATTAGTTATCAACAAAAAGCCAGATGAATCCCTTATTACAAAATTTTGCATTTCTCTCAACTGAATCTATTATTATAAGAAAATGTTATTTTAAAACTCTTTGGTCATTACTGTAACCTAATAACAAATTAGTTTTTAATTTTGGAAACTCATATTTTGTATATTCTTGTGCTAAAATTATCTCCTAAAATATTATTTATACTAGTTTAGGTCCAAAAGTTCCTTTAAATACTAAACATGCAGCCTTCTTGGCACAGAGGGTAGCACATCAGTCTCATAAATATTAATAAACACCTTAAAAATAATGAAAAACAAATGCAAATATATATACACTCACATCAGTATGGCCCATTTTTTGTAACAGCTGAAAACCTCATTTTATAATCTGTAAAGTATAATCATAGGAGAAGAGATCTGTATATGGGCTTTTCATACTTCATTTTTTTGTAACAATGATCACTGTATCATTTCTTATCTAAAATATAATCTTTTTATTAAAGACTCTGGAATTTCCTGCTATGCATGGCAATATATATATATATATATATATATATATATACA